CAGGGTTTGGTGGCCCCTTCCTCCCCCCCCCTTGTCCCCCCCCCCCATTTCACCCCAGACAGAGCCAGGAGGACACCAACGTGGGGGCAACCACCTCTTTAATTGCCACGAGCCCTGGTCCTACACGGTAGGACGAGCCCGGCACCGGGGCCACCGTGTCCCACGTCACTCCTGGTGGCCCCGGGGGACGGTGGCTCCAACGACCCCCCCCAAAAGCAGTGAATAAATTAGAAAGGATTAAAAAAAACCCCAAAAAAAGCCCTTGAAAATGGGGACGCGGGGACCTGGTCACCCCGGGGTGGGGGACAAGGTGGCTCAGGGACATGGGGACCCTCGTCACCTGAGGTGGGGGCAGCTTGGGGACCTGTGGCACCCCAGGGTGGGACATGGGGACCCTCCTCACCCCTGGGGGGTCAGTCTAGGAACGTGGGGGCCCTTGTCACCCTAAAACTGGGACACGGGGAACATTGTCCCCCCAGTGTGTGTGTGTGGGGGGGGAAGCCTGGGGTCCCCTGTCACCCTGGGGACAACGGGTCCTTGTCACCCGGAGCTGGGATGTGGGGACCCTCCTCGCTGTGGTGGGGGCCAGTTTGGGGACATGGGGACCCTCGTCACCCTGAGCTGGGACATGGAGGACCCTCATCACCCCAGTGGGGGCCAGTTTGGGGACATGGGGGCCCTTGTCACCCCAGTGGGGACCAGTTTGGGGACATGGGGGCCCTTGTCACCCTAGTGGGGGTCAACCTGGGGACATGGGGGTCCCTTGTCACCCTAAGCTGGGACACGGGGGACCCTTGTCACCCCAGTGGGGGCCAGTTTGGGGACATGGGGACCCTCCTCACCCCAGTGGGGGCCAACATGAGGACAAGGGGACCCTCGTCACCCCAGTGGGGGCCAACCTGGGGACATGGAGGGCCCTTGTCACCCTGAGCTGGGACACAGGGGACCCTTGTCACCCCCGTTGGGGCCAATTTGGGGACAAGGGGACCCTCATCGCCCCAGAGGGGGCCAACTTGGGGACAAGGGGACCCTTGTCACCCTAGTGGGGGTCAACCTGGGGATATGGGGACCCTTGTCACCCTGAGCTGGGACATGGGGGACTCTTGTCACCCCAGTGGGGGCCAGTTTGGGGACAAGGGGACCCTCATCGCCCCAGAGGGGGCCAACCTGGGGACCCCGATGGCTCATGGCATGGCGCTGGGGGGGTGGGACCCTGCCACCCAGGGCAGGGGATGGCTTGTCACCCCCCCCCCAACCCCCCGGGGGTCCCCACGGGGTCAG